GTGTTTTGTGAGCAAATGCTTTTGCATATTCGTAGTGTTTCCTCCCTTAAATGAAATCTCTACTTTGCAAGTATTACAAGTTGCCCTGTTGTGATCCGTTCTTGTAAAGTATAACCAAACTTTTGAGCGTTTGAGCCGCCGTGTTTCCTGCCAAGTAAATGACGCTCTGCAACGTGGTGACGTCATTCGGGGCGACTGGAATCGATAAGGGAATCGTTTACAAAAATGGCAAACAATTCCAAGGAATTGAAACAGTGGGAACCGGTTCTCAACAAGAACCAGGTTTTGATACCCATCCCTACTGCTGAAAGTGTTGGGCTTTGCAAATGTTCCATAAATGGTAAATGAAGTTGAGGTCAGATTTCTGAATTCAATAAACATTAGTCTCTTTAAAGATGCTAACAAAAATTGTGTGTCCTCAAAGAATGGAGCGCCACTTCTCCTTTATGAAGAAGGTAGCTTGGTGAAGCAGCACTTCACATCACAGAATAATAACACAACAGGATTAATTTAGTTAAACACATTACGTTTTATCATTACATATTATTATTTCTGTTATTATAGAATTATATATATATATATTTTTTTTTTTGATTTTTTTTTTGTGTATGTTATTTTTTTTTAATCAGAGTCAGATGGAAATACAAGAAAGACAGGCACACTTAAAAAATGGCAGTAAAGAGAGCAATGACTTGCCTAAGAGATGTTGTTGATAATTAAAGGTACATTTTCCAGCTAACGTTTGTCTGTGTTAAATAATAACACCTGCCTAACATGGTCTATGTCAGGGCGGGCAACGTACAGCTCGCTTTGACCATAAGTGGGCCAAACCAGTGAAACTTCCCATTCAGTATAAAGAAGTTACTTATTTAACTGTTTTTCTACATGAGGAAGAAAAAGCTGCTGTGACAAGGAAAGAAATCTGTAGGCACGCATCTTTGGACTTAAACTGTAAGTAATAGATGTGAAAGATTACGGCAAAAATTCTTGCAGCTGATTGCCCAGACTGTTCAGGTTTTTTTGTAATCGTAAAAACCAGAAATTTCTATAGAAAGTGGAAAAACAGAAACTTTTCTGTCATTTACATTTTTAATGCCTAATTATTTTGTGTAGTATGAATGGCCATATGAGAGCATTTTATCAGTAGGAAAAACTGTAAGACTTAAGAAAACAAACAAACAAACAAAACGGTTAAAAGGCCAAAGTTTCTGCTTGTGCTTGTTTGTGGTGAGCAGAAGTTCAAACAAGTTAAGAATTATAAATAACTTCAAGCACATTCTGGCCTATGAGACTCATTTAGACCCTGAGCCATGGCTCTGTGCTACATGCAGATATTCAAAGACACTTTGTATATAGTTTATTTTGTGTAATATTCAATACTGAACTGTAACTTAGGAGAACACATATGAGGTTTAAGGCCTGGATATGTTTGAAACCTTTTATCCTCCACCATGGAAAATGGCTGAATATAAAAGTGGAAATCACTTCAGACAGTCTCCAATATCATTGAAATGCAGCCAGATGCTGCTCATTTTACATTTTAGCTCCTTTCTTCACTTTTTCCCAACACGCTTGCATTTAAATCCAGCTCGCCGTCTCTCTGTGTACTTGGCTTGTACCACTACACTTGTTGTCTTCGGAACATCTGCCCCCCTTAAATCTTTTGCATAATGGTATGATCCCAGCCCCCCACCTCCACCCCCGATTTTAATAATTTAAATAAATAATAATATTACATTTCATCTAAGAGACTGAGGGTCTTAATACTAGCATTGTCTTTCTCAGTATTTTCCAACAAGTCACATGTCCCGCCATCTAAAATTAAAGCAAATCACACAGATTTTTGACATTAGTTGTGTTTGGACTCTCATCAGCCTGGAGGAATTAGCAGTAACACAAGATTTGTGGGCTGTGCAGGTATTGCTGCCAACCTGTCCCTGGTGTGCAATGCCAAACTTTTTGTAGCTCTCTGCATGGTAGTATTAAACCATTCCCACACTGACACAAGGGTCTCTGAGGAGCATAGCTGTTCATGTTTGCCGCATGTGTTGTCTGCTTCCAGGCTAGTTAGACATCATCTTCCCACGACAGAAAATCCCACTGGAGCAGAATTGATTTGTGGTACCCGAATCCATTTTTGGGGAGTGGAAAAAGCATTTCTGTGCTTTTTATACCTTAGCCACTTCGTTTTCCCACCAGCATCTATAGCCACAACAACAGTAAGGCAGTATTTAAAACTGTTAGATTGGCGTATAGGGAAAAGGCCTGCACAATGCCATTTTACACAAAATATCAGTATTTGTAGAAATCTATAAAGCTCCACAAACATAAACAAAAGTAATTCACCATAATATTCTTTGATACTCTGGAATTTGCCATAAGCCCTGAACAAATGTTGTTGTTGTTTTTCCCTCTGGCAGTAAACATAGCTCACAGGCAACTGGATGAGGAACAACCTACTGCTCATTAAACCACTATATAAAAAAACAAACAACCCCAAACAAAACTATAGCAGTTGCCCAGCTGGGCTGCAAATTTTGATTTGGACCCAAAATCATAGTAGATCACCTCACTGAACTATAACGCAGGTACCCACACAGTGATTATTGCAGAATTACATATACTCATCATGGGCATAACTGTTATTTGTAATTTAGGGTTTTTAATAATTTCTTTAAACTGCTGTTTTAGTTCCAGTGAAAGGAACTCTTAATGCTTCAGCACACCGAGGCATTTTGGATAATTTCATGCTCCCAACTTTGTGGGAACAGTTTGGTAATGGTCTCCTTCTGTTCCAACATGACTGTGCACCAGTGCACAAAGCAATGTCCCAGAAAGTCTATTCTGTTCATCTGGAGTTAGCGTTTTCAGTGGATGAAACTAGAGATGGACCGATCCGATATTACGTATCGGTCCGATACTGACCTAAATTACTGGATCGGATATCGGAGAGAAATAAAAAATGTAATCCGATCCATTAAATATCAAAAAACCATCTCACAAAACTTGCCACACGGCGTAACTCAGTTCATAACCGTAGCACGTCGGAGCAGTGTGCGTCACGTGATAGAGCGGCTGTGTGTATTTGGAGCCTCGCTACCAAACCAGCATTTCATCTCTGAGGAAGTTATCCCAGAGAGAAGTAAAGCAAGTGTGTAAGTTCGTCTCTGAATCTTTGTAAAGCATTCCCACGTTAAGCTTAACAACCGATATATAGAGCGACTGCCTCTTCTTGCTGCTACTTCAATCATGAAACTGATCAATGATCAGCTGATCGGCTTTTCTGTTGCGAGTCCGTCTCTCTTCTTTGTGTTTGGCCCACTTTGGACCAGAAAGAGGAAACCAGCGGCTGAACAACAGCAGCACGTTTAAGCTTGATAAGCTGTTGTTAGAATTTATTTAATATTACTTTCTACTCGAGGATCTTTTTCTACAGCTGACGGCTGTAACTGTGCAGGGGCGGATCTAGCAAAGTTTAGCCAGGGGGGCCGATAGGGCATGAACAGGGAAAAGGGGCACAAAGACATACTTTTCTTTGTTATTCTCATTTAAAATGTCGAGCTTTTTATAAATAATTATCTGAATCTTACACCCAAAGTTTTAATCTGATGTAAAATGTATAGAAGTCCATTACTGTATATAGTAACTGTTAAGTCTAATATACCCTAGTAAGCTATAGTACTTTTTCCTTTGGGAAGGTACCATCTGTGCAGTCTGCAATTTTGTTGAAGAAAGATGTTGAATCTATTTAATATTTCTTGAAAAATAATTGATTTCTGTGCATTTTTTTTCACACTGCATCAAATTAAAGTTGATTAAGTCGATTAAACATCATGAGGTGGGGGGCGGGGGGTGGTTCCCTATTTTTTTTGCTGGGAGTTTGCAACCCTATTAGTTAGGTTGCTTAATATTTCTGCTAAGTACTCTTTAAAATACCAGAATAGGGAGGATGGAGCAGGTTTAAGTTTATTAGATTGATCAGTGTTGCTGAACTATGACATATTTTGGGTGCAGTGTATTTTTTACATACAGGTATAACAGAATAGCTTTAGTGTTGTTTATTTAAACTTGAGTATGAACTTATACAAAATGCAGCAAGATATTAAAAAAACAGTTTTATTGATTAAAAAACACTATATCGGATTCATATCAGTATCGGCAGATATCCAAATTTATGATATCGGTATCGGACATAAAAAAGTGGTCTCGTGCCATCTCTAGAAGAAACATTTAGTCAATCCACCAAGTGACTTCTTCAGTCTCAGCTGGCTGCAGGTTTCCCCTTCATTATAAAGAGTACATTTGATTAATGACTAAAACTAGCCCAACTGACAAACGATGGGCTGTGAGGTCGGTTTCTTTATCATTAATATGCAAATTGTTGCTTTGAACAGCTTTTTTCCTTGAACACATGAAGTCATCATTTTAAAAAGTGCTACATTTACAAAAGTTTACACAAATAAACTACCTTTATTTCTAATTACTCTGGTTATCTTTTTCTAATATTAAAATTAGAGCAACCTGGTCTCAAACACAAACCCGTATCCAACCAGGTCGAATGCCACCCAGATTTCAGACAACCAAAACTTCTGGAGTACTGTCGTCAGAATGACATCATGATTGTGAGCTATTGCCAAACTGGCTCCTCTAGAGATGCATCTTGGGTGAATTTGAAATGTCCTCCTCTGCTGGGCGATGAGGTGCTTGTATCCATTGGGGGAAAAGTACAACCAAAGTAGTGCCCAGGTGGCCCTGCGCCTCAACATACAGAGAGGAGTTGTAGTGATCCCAAAGAGCTTCAAAGCTGAGCAGATCAAACACAACTTCCAGATATTAGATTTTTCACTGACTGAGGAAGAAATAAAAGCCATTGAAGCATTGAATAAAAATATTCGGTTTGTTGAGTTGCTGATGTGGATTGATCATCCGGAGTACCCCTTTCATGATGAATACTGAACTCTGTAACTTTTATGTGATGTACTTGATTTTTAAGAATAAATGACAGATCATGGGAAAAAAATAAAAAAAATTAGAGCAAATAGTTTTTCACAGCACTTTACTTGAACTTGAACTATTAACTTCAGAGAGTTAATAATGTGAGAAAATAAAGGAGAGAGCCGGTATATGTGACACTCTTCTAACTCTACTTGTCCTTCTGCAGGTGTTCTTCAGAGCAGGGATTCTGTCCAGACTGGAGGAGCAGCGAGATTTCCAGACGAGGAGGAACATTTCTCTCTTCCAGGCTGCTTGCAGGGGATACTTAGCCAGACAGGCGTTCAAGAAGAGAAAGGTAGGACTACTTTATCATTTGGCATTTAAAAAGTTAGGAATTACGTGTTGAAATCTGACCAACACAGCACTGATGACTTGCAAAAAAGATATGTCGTATATTTGCCATTTGTAAATATACTGGCTTTCCCCCTGCTGCTCAGGTGATTTTTGTGATCATGCATCTCCAGTGAGCAACTGCCAAAGAAGTCAGCTACTCTTTCCCACTGTGACTTCATCATAGTGTCTTCTTTAACCATTCCAGTATCGATTACTGACTGTGTGACGTCATTCTCATACCTTTTATCACCTTTCCCCCTCCATTTTCTTTTTTCATTTTTGATTGTGTTTCGTTTTGTTCTGCATTTGCATTTACATACCTTTGAGGTGACTGTTGTTGGGATTTGGCATTATATTCCTTATAGGTGATTTCTGTCAGGTAGATAGATGACAGATTAGGAGGAAAACTTTAAGGAAAGGAACTGAAGAAACTGGAGATGCAGAATACCCCTTTAATCTGTCTGTACCTTTTATGCCTCATTGGTATGACCTTATTATTTTACTTCACTATAACCACAAAAAGCTTGATTCCTGACATTGACTTTGAATCCAGAATGTGTAGAACTATTAGGACATTACAGGCAATAAAAAACACATAATCAATCATAATCTTGAGCAGCCATGTGTTAACATCCTTTTGGAAATGCCCTCCTGGTAATCCTCTTAAAAAACAAACACTGGATGTCATCAGTCCCCGAGGAGACATCAGGGCCAACCAGTAAGGAGCCACAAGTGCAGCCATGGCTATTATTGCCTCAAGGCCTCGGTTTGAGCCCCAGCTTTTATGGCAAACAGTTATCTTGTATAATTGATGTAGACTGGAACTGGGTTAATTTCTTTCATGTCATTGTAAATAGCTAGTTGCTGATGTGCATTGTAGGCATTGGACAGAGTCTCAGACTTGTGTCAGAAGCTGGTGTTGAAGGCAAAGAGTAGCAGTGACTCTTCAGGTAAGGGACAGAACATGTCTGACAGATAAAACCCAATTTTGGGGTTAAAAACATGCATAAAAGTGTTATCCCAACCGACTAAAAGACAAACCAAGGCAATGTCTATACAACAAAAGTATGATTTTGCATTTTTTATACATATATATTTATTTTAAATGGTACAATACTAGTACCTTAAAAATTCATTGTCCAGAAGCAGGTGTGATAATATTAAAATACAAATATTAAAAAACAAAAAAGTCTATTTAGAAAACTAGAGTTTTCTAAATGGTAAATTATACTAGTATTTGTAGCGCCTTGCTACTTCACTTGAGCACTCAAAGTGTTTTCTACTAAAAATCGTATTTACTCGATCACATTCAGACAGCACTGTTATCTACACCTAAATGCTGTATCTAACATTCACACACACAATCTGATGGGTGCATCGGGGGAGTGCGTCTGGGAATAAGTATCCTGATCAAGGATCCGAGGATACTTCAGCACTTGGACTGGATGAGCCGGAGATTGTTGCACCTACCTTAGTCTACAGTGTTTGTAGACTGCCTGCTCTACTGCCTGAGCTACAGTTGCCCCTGTTTCAATTAAAAGACCGTCATGGGATTTCATTATTATTTGACAGTTCCCCTGAAATAAAAGTGAGTTCGAGTTTAGATGTGTTTAGGTTGCTACAAAGAAGCTTTAAGGATGTGTTACAAGTTACCTGTTTGGATGATTGTGCTTTAGTCATTTTCTTCTCTGCATGCGTGCGCGCGTTTGCGCGTGCATGTGTGTAAAATAATAACCTGACAAGTGGGAAACATTGGTGCTGTCTCGCAAAATACACGTGGGGATCTGTTGACTTCATGTGTAGCTTTACAGAAGTGATCATGCTGCTTGTGAAACTTTTCTCATGTGTACACAAAGTTAATTTGGTACACAGTGTTTGTATTTGTGGTAAGTGTATATGTGTGTGTGGAGATTAAGCTTTCATTACCATTTCATTTTATCCTGTTTTGCAGCACTGGTCTCAGGGCTGCCAACAAAAATGACTTTTCAAGGGCGTTTGGCTTTCATGTTATCCCCCAAAGAACTCAGTTTGAGCCTCATCTCTTGTGGCAAACAGTAATCTCATGTAATTGATGTAGAACTGGGCACATTTCTTTTACGCCGTCGTAAATAGTTTGTTTCTAGTGCGCTGTTCATAGGCATCCTGGAGAGTCTCAGACTTGGTTGAAATCTCAAAGCAGATAAGAGGAAATGGCTCACACTGTAGTTTGTCTTCTAATGCAACTTAGGATGCCTTGACAAGTTCATATCATCACAATCACATATGTCTAAATTATCTTCTCAATAAGTTACCCAGCATTTCATCACTTCAGTGCTTGTATTGTAAAGGAGCAGTAAGAAATGCTGGATTTGCACTAGAGTTCTAAAAATTACAAGAATGAAAAGTGAAAGTGATAGACATCAGTCAAATCCAGCATCACAGCCCTGTGAATAAACTTTAAAGACACATTAAATCCAATCTGCTTACCCATAAAACATACATTGAATGGATATTGTTAAGCAATGAATGCCGGTGGGAGCTTTAAAGATGTAGGAGTTGATTGAACTCTGCAGTTACTGAGTCAGCTGGGTGCTGGCGGCTTTTATGTAATGCTGCTCTGTAACTTTACAGACTCCGTATACTGAGTGTTCAACATTAGCCAAAAAGCTAATGAAACTAAAAATCAAAGATTTATCCAAGTCCGTCCTTTTTCATTCTTACAGATGGACGTAGTTTAGAACGTGAATTTGTGCTGTAATTTGTATAACAATCAGGTTTGCTTTTTTTGTCACAAGACACAACCGGTTAGTTTGTTTACCCATCTAACCCACTTCCCTGCTCTAGGGAACCTCCTTGTTGTCTTCCACATTCCTCATATCCCACCCCCTCTCTCCCTGAGGGAGCTGCATTCAAAGCACTCCAGGAAATAAGTGAGATGGAGAAGGATGATGGGGAAATAGGAAAAAAGGAAAGAAAGATGAAGACTCCACTTCGCCATGGGGGAACAGACAAATAGAAGAGATCTGCTGACTGCTTTGAAGCCCTGCAGTCTGTCTCCACTCTCTCTCTTTTTGACATTCATAGGAACAGTTGAGAGTAGAGGAGCACAGGGGATTCCACTGCCAGCCAGCCAACGCTGAGCCTAATTAAACAGTTGCCTAAAGAAAGAATCCCCACTTTCCCCACCCTGACAGGAAACAGGTGTATTGAGAAAGATGCTACTGCTTGTATTCAGACCAGGGTTTTAATAGTTTTGCAATTTTCATTAGTTTTTATTTTTTATTTAGTTTTGACTTCAGATTTTCAATTTTATATCAGTTTTAATTAGTTTTTACCAATTGTTTGCTAGTTTAGTTTAGTTTTTATTTTTTTGAAAATCCTTAGTTTCAGTTTAGTTTTGATTAGTTTCAGTTATAGTTTTAGCTGTGTTTGCAATAATTAAGCATACTGCACCCTGGACAGGTCGCCTGTTTGTCGCAGGGCTAACACGCAGAGACAGACAACTCACATTTCCACCTATGGGTTCTTTAAATAAATAAATAAAGGCAGATGAACAACCATTGATACCAGGCAAATATAAAATTTATATCTTGGCCCCAATGAGACTATTAACTCTTGCAGCACCGGGTGTTCGTAATTTTGGTTCAAGTGAATTGATAAACCTTTTGAAGGCAATTGACTCACACGGTTATGTAGATGTCCCCGTCCTGTTGTCTCAGGATGCATCACGCTGCCTTGCCTGGGGTTAGCTTCTGTTTTCTGGGGATGAGGTTTGAGTGTGCTCCCTTACCTTCTCAAGGTAAGCTAGGTTAGCCTTCTTGTGTGAGCTTTTCAAGCACACTTTAAGGTTTGTGGGATTTTTTTTCCCCTTTAGAAATGTCCCTCATAATTTGTCTCTTTCCACTACAAGACACTTGCTTTATCCAAAACACAGTCATATTCAAAGTAATCCCAAATTGGGATAATGAGACAGCAAGAAAAAAATCTGGAAACTAAACTTCATTTTCACCCTTGACTATTGTAGGACACGCACACATCTACGAAAACTAAACACATTTTTGCTATAAATTCAGTTAATTTTAGTTAGTTTTGTGAACACTCATTACAGTTTTAGTTAGTTTTCCTTTTTTTGTTTTTGTTTTTATTTTTATTTCCGTTAACGAAAATGTTTTTTCACTTCTAGTTTTCGTTATTTCGTTAGTTTATCTGAAATAAAGCCGTGTTGAAAGCATTTGAAACAAAATGTATAAGAACGTTGGATCTAAACTTTTAATGAAGTAAAATCATACAGTTTGGTGAAAAATATCTTGAGCCAGTCCTCTTTTCTCTTTGCTAGGAAAATAGGAAGCTAAATAAGACTTGAAGCTTGAAAGTCAGTATTTGTTATTTTGACTGTCTTTACTCTCCAACATAGCCATAACTCTCTTAGGCTCACTATGGAAAACTGTGGTTGGGGTCCATGTCCTGACCAAAACTATGGAGAAATATTGGTGATCTTTGAAGTTGTCATTTCAAAGATAGGGACCAGGTCTGAGGCTACTAACTACTGTCTTCAAAGGATTTCAAAAGGTCCATCAAGATGAGAATAAAATAGCACCAAGACAGTCTGTCTGCGATCAGTTTTCCATTGAACAGGTTCAAGTTAGCACTTATATGCAATCTGTTTGCAATAATACCACAATTAACTCTAGTAAATCTAAAATCTGTTGCCATCTGCACCAAATGACCACTGATGAGCAACCACTGATCAAAAACCACTGATCAATGGCCATGAGTACAATTCAGAGAGCTGGGGAATGGCTGCAGTCACAGCATTGTAAGATGGTGAAAGATGTAACACCGGTACCAGAACCATGACACAGAACTTCTCACAAATCTTCAATCATAATCATAAGTTATGTTTCAAGTATTATAAGCAGTAACACTTTAACACAAGACCTGCCAGAATGGGCCATTTTGATCGTGACCTGTTTTTGAAGTTAAGTTGTTCATTTTCATGTTATTTCTTTTCTAGTTTTAAGCAAAGGTTGGTAAAATAAGTATTTAAAATGACTTTTGATAGGTCTGTGTAGCACAGGCCTATTGCTGGAACACCAAGACAATTCTACTACAATGGCAAAAGCAAGACGCAAGTCACCAGAGCTCTTTGTGTTGCTCGTGCACGAGGGAGAGAACTGTGACGAGCGCCGTTCCTTCCGCTCGAACCTCAGTCGCTCTCAGTTAGCTCCCTTGCAGCACTGTTCTTTATTGTGGTTACATGAATATGCATAGTCTCATTAACATATGACGTCTTACATAGGCATACATGTGAACAAAGAGTACTGTCTGTGTGTATGTGTAGGTATGCGTATGTGTGTGTGTCTCAAGATGTGACCCTGTGAACGACTCCCCAAAGCTGGTGCCAGGAGCCCAGCGGGCCACCTAAACAAAGGGCTTTTATACTAAAACAGATACAGAGTAGGTGTCCTCCTATCCCATAAATCAGTAAGAGAAGGTACGACCTCTCTCATGACCCTAGGACAGCGGTCCCCAACCCCCGGGCCTCGGACCAGCACCGGTCCGTGAGTCGTTTGGTACTGGGCCGCGAGAGTTGAGGCTCAGGTGTGAAATGTCTGGTTTTCAGGGTTTTTATCGTTTTTCAGCGTTATTTTGTCATCGTTTTTATCGTTAACTCGGTTTTCCTGGGTCTTTTCACGTGTGTTATGAATAAATCTTCTTTTTTTGGGTACCGGTACTAGTTTCATTTTGTTGTATTTATCCGCGACACCTTAAAGGCCGGTCCGTGAAAATAATGTCGGGCATAAACCGGTCCGTGGCCCTAGGATGTGTGTGTATGCCAGAACCCTCTGGAAGGCACACAGAGTCTTTGCAGACTGCTAAGGATCAGACATCCTATCACTATGCAATCGACTATATACATCTAAGCATAAATGACAATCCAACAATATAAACCTAACAACTTTCTAGGGTTTTTGTTAGATTTATAGATTATTTAGATAATTTCATTACTGATCATACATTTAAGATATGCATTATAATAAACTAATAAACATAGGGAACAACAAATTACACAGCAGCTGGCACATGTAAATATTTAATTGTTATAGAGGAAGAACTTTATGAAAAGGTCAAAATGAATTATTACATATTATATGCATATTACATATAAAAGAATTATTGTAACATTAGAAAAGTTCATATTTATCTTCCACATCTTCCTCTGATCACCTGCAGCCTCTCATCAGTGAAACACCTCCTCCGCTCTTCTTCCCTGAAACCTGTCCAATTTCACTGTTTATTTCCACAGACTCTTTGCTCAGTTTAACTCTGTGCTGCTGCTTCTCTGCAAAACCAGCAACACGTCCAGTTCTGCATGCACTCTGTCACACAGTGCCCACTCTGATCTGCTATTGTGCCAAAAAGTTTGTCTCCAAAAAAGTGATTTCCGATGTTTTTGAGTGTTTTTAATGTCAATATCTTTGCTTATACGTGTCATGCCTGTAGAAGTGACATAACATTAAGTGGTTAACCTATATATACATTTTGACAAGTATCTTTATGATTCTGCCTTTATAGTACCCACTATGTGTTCTACATTATAATCAATGCAGTCCTTTTTGGCCACTTCACATATCTTTATGGAACTGTTATCTTATTATATTTGTTGTACTTTCTGCTGCCCTCTTGCCCAGATGCCTCAGTGAGTGTTTATACCTGGATAAGTGAAGGATATATAAAAGTCACTTTGCCAACAGCTGATTGCAGCACAACCCGTTCAGGCCTGCAGTAGCCTAATTGTTCATCTGTTATTTAACTACAGTCCCTTATATATTTGCTCATCACATTTAGCTCACTCACGTTATTACAGCATCTTTCATGACAAAATGGGGTCAACACGACCCCCTTGGTGGTTTTACTGTTAAACATTTTATAGTAAACTGACATTTCAAAATGTTGTGACACTTTCATGTGTGGGTGATAATCCTTAGAATGAATTCTTGCCTTTGTCTTGGAACTGGAGTTGAAAGTTTGTGGCCACTATAATTACAGCTGACCAGTAGATGTTACTGGTAGGATATGTCTTTGAGGCTTTGAAGCTTTAAATCTTCAAATCTCTTTTTGGTACAATCAAGAAGAAACCTCAAACTCTCCCCACATAGTACTTTTCTGGTTATCCTGCATTTTGTATCTGTTAATATCATTGTCCAGCTTTGTGGTCTTTTTCTTAATGTTGTTGTATTTGTGTGACAGATTCAGGATCTGGCAATCCGCTGCATCCAGAAGAACATAAAGAAGAATCGTGGTGTCAAAGGCTGGCCATGGTGGAAGCTGTTCACCACTGTCAGACCTCTGATAGAGGTGCAGCTCACTGAGGAACAGATCCGTGGCAAGGATGTAAGTTTAAGCACATACACTGGTGGTACATTCCTGGCATGTATCTGAAATAAAGCCGTGTGGTGATTTAATGCACAAAAATCAGTCGCCATTTTTGTGGTGGGATGTAATATTGGTGGTTATATAAACTTTGAATAATTACTTTATTTTGTATTTTACATTCAACAGTTTTAGAAATGCCTTCTCCTTAATTCTACATGACAAATCCTGAAATTAAGACCAACCTGTGTAATGAAGGGTTTGTATCAAGTGTCACAGCTGTAATTTCTTCTGTGATATTACAGATAGCCCTGCATGTTTGATTTTGGAGTTTTAAACTGGATACCCTTCTTGCTGCAGCCCCAAAGGGGATATTCTTCTTCTTATTGTTGTTATGTTGGATTAAAACACATGGTTCAATTCAGTAAAACTGAGAAAAGCATTATTATTAAGTATATCTACACAGTGCACTAACATGTATGTGACAGGCTACTGTAAAATGCCATGTTGCGGTTTGAATTCGGACAGTCAGCATTTTCTATGAAGGCTACTCATCTATGGAAAACAGTTCCCACTCAAATCAAATCAATTACAGATCCTAAATCCTTTACAGGTCAAAGGTTACTTAAGGGTAAATCAGTGCTGTAGTCATTTTCATTAATCATTTTATAATTTTACAAGTATCCATACTTTTCAAAATAATTGTTATTTTTCCCTCAGGTTTTCTGCTTTTTGGGGTTGTTTTTTAAAAGCTGTGTTTCACACTGAAGTCTATAGTTTTTTAATAATAGCGCAATATGGTTTTAAGTAATGCGTTTTGTAATTTGTTTGTGTATTGTGAATGTAAAAGCTCGACTGAAAATGAGCAACTATGTGCAGCACATCAGTTTCGTGCTCCATATTGAGCTGTATTAAACTGTATTGTCTCTTTTAAATACATAAATAACTAAAACCATCTTTTGATCTTTTGCATGTTCACTCTCAGGAAGAGATCCAGCAACTCAAGCAGAAGCTAGAGAAGGTAGAGAAAGAGAGGAATGAGCTGAGACTCAACAGTGACCGTCTCGAGAGCCGGGTAAAAATACACACACACACACACACACACACACACACACACACACACACACAC